TGACTCAAGACAGGTGAGATGCTTTCTTCCCAGAGCAATGCAATTGCTTAGCAACAGCAACACCCTACAGAAGTCACTCTCAGTTCCAGCTGCCCAAATCCCAGAGCCATCCAGGTGCCACCCTTTCTGGGCCTAACCTGTTGCCTTCCCTTTGGCCTGATGAGCTGCCCTGAAGCTAAAGGAGTATGTTTCTGTGCAAGTTGTACCAAGTCTGTCTCTTCTGCCTGTGAGCAAAGGAACCTCCTGGATACACTAGGCTGCCTGGTGGAGGGATACACAGGACTCCAGGGATCACTCCTGCAGGTCATCCTGAGCGCTAGCAGTCAGAAGTTGTGGCTACTGGCCTGAGGCCTGCCTCAGCCCAGCCAGCATCTATTCTCTCTCAGCATTTTGTGGCTCAGCCATTCATCATGCTAACCAAACCATTCTTGACAAGCAATGCCTTCGATCTTGCTAAGAGGCAGTCATCCTGCTCAACATCCCTAAGGAGGGATTGAGTCTAGGCCCCACCCAAATTCCTGGGCAGAGCTGGGCTGTGAGCCTCTGGCTGGGCCAAGTGCAAGGAAATCCAGAAGTTGCTTCAATCCTACACCTGGTGCCAACCTGCAGTAGTGAAATGAATGAGGGTCCTAAAGCCAGTTGGGACTGGGCTTGCCCCCAGAGACCCCTCACCAGCTGGACATAAGGCTTCAGTACCCTGAGCTTTAGTTCTCTGATCTGTAAAATAGGCATACTAGCCCCTATGTCTGAGAATCCTCAGGACAATCACATTTTGGTCTCTGGAACACGACAGCCTCTAAATCTGAGCCATTTTGTCTGTCACTTCCAGGTCTAGAGGCTTTTCACAGTGTCACCCCAACATACTGTCACCAGTGTGGTCTGTAAGCCCTGGGCAGTCTTCTCTCCCCATGTCCCTGCCCTCACCTTCCTAATGAGACCCCACAGGGAAGGGAGGAGGCAGCTTTCTAGATTCTAGAGTGAGACACTGTGAAGACGAGAAGAATCAGAGCCACTTCCATTTTATGAGGTTCCTGGTGTTAATAAAAATGAGGAAGTTGTTTGATGAAAATATTTCAAATTGTATAGAAAACCAGCACATTGTATCCCATGATTGCATTAATGTACACAGCTATGATTTAATAAAAAAAAATAAAAATAATATTGCAATGAAAAAATGAGGAAGTTTAGAATAATTGTGGTATAATTTCAGTGTTTACACAAATAGGGTAGAGTACAATATATCTGTATTAGTGAGAAGATAACTGCAGAACTCCATACATTTCTGGTGAATTCTAAGTAGTGTAATTCCACTTCTGTGGGAGCTGGAGCTATACCCTTCAAGTCCAAATTTCTAGGAAAATACATAACTAAACCCAATATAGAGACTTTATGGGATCTTGTTCAGAGAAAACAAGGTAAGGAGGACATTTTTAGATATTTGGGAACATTTGAATAAGGGTGGGACATGGGATTATTTTAGGCAATTACTGTTCATGTCTAGGTCATAATATATAGAAGAAGAGCCCAAGAGGGTCATAAAGTGGTTCAAGAAAAATATTCACAAATAAAAGTGATAGATGGGTACAGTATTTATGACCACATGGTAACACGGCTGAACCCAGGTGATAGGTATACAGGTGCTTCATTGTACCATTCTTTCAATTTTTTTTTTTTTTGAGACAGAGTCTCACTATGTCGCCCTCAGTAGAGTGCTATGGTGTCACAGCTCACAGCAACCTCAAACTTTTGGGCTTAAGCGATTCTCTTGCCTCAGCCTCCCAAGTAGCTGGGACTATTTGGGCATTAGCCCAGCACAATGCCCAGCTATTTTTTTGTTGCAGTTGTCATTGTTGTTTAGCTGGCCCAGCCAAGTTCGAATCCGACACCCTAGGTGTATGTAGCTGGCACCGTAATTACTGTGCAACGGGTGCCAAGCCCCATCTTTTCAACTTTTTTATATACCATATTCAAAATTTTTCATTAAGAAAAGTTAAGGATTGCTTATACAAATGTATTACAGATTTTTCTGAATAAGGTGTTATTATGCTGCACCTGTCTATCAGAAATATCTGTTGTATGTCCCTAAGGACACCTGTAGCATCTCTTAGACTTTAGGATCTATAAGAAAACAGTTTCACCTAGGCTGCCTGCTTCTTAGGATTGGACTGGGTTTCTGCAATGGTTTTAACTTCAGCTGCAGCTCAAGGAAGCAACAATGGGAGTAGCCAGCATGGACCAAGACATGTAAGTGACAGAGTCCCTGGGGGAACAGAAAAGAGGCTTGGGCTGCAGGTAGTGGGGACACTAGCTTAACAAGATAGAGGCATGTTCTACTAACACAGAACACAACTGTCCTGTTGTTACTAGAATTTCTTCTTCACTAGGTCCTTGGTCTCAGGAATTCAAACAATGAATCCATGAACCACAGATTAGTGTTAAGACAGGAATTATTTTACAGGAAACAAATGAATGGATATAGTCCTTCAGCTGCTTAACATCTCTAATCATTGGGGAAATGCAAATCAAAACCACAATAAGATACCACCTCAATCCATTAGGATGGCTTCTATTAATTAATAAGAAGAAAGAAAGTGGGGAGGCATGGTGGCTTACACCTATAAATCCCAGCACTCTGGGAGGCCGAAGTGAGTGGATTGCTTAAGCTCAGGAGTTTAAGACCAGCCTGAACCACAACAAGACCCTGACTCTAAAAATAGCTGGGTATTGTGGCAAGTGTCTATGGTCCCAGCTATTTAGGAGGCTGAGGCAAGAGGATTGCTTGAACCCAAGAGTTTGAGGTTGCTGTGAGCTATGATTCCATGGTACTCTAGCCTGGGTAGGGCAACAGAGTGAGACTCTGCCTCAAAAAAAAAAAAAATGGAGAAGAAAGAAAGTGTGAGGATGTGGAGAAATTGGAACACTTGTGCACTGTTGGTGGGAACAGAAAATGGTATAGCCTCTGTGAAAAACATTATGGCAGCTCTTAAAAAAATTGAGCATAGAATTACCATTTGATTTAGCAATTCCACTTCTGAGGATATACTCAAAATAAAGCAGGGTTTGAAGAGACATTTATACACTCTGTGTTCATTGCATCATTATTCACAGGGGCCAAAAGTGGAGGTAATCCACTGTCCATTGACAGATGAAGGGATAAACCAAATGTGTTATATGCAAACAATGAGATATTATTCAACCTTGAAAAAAGAGGAAATTCTGACACATACCACAACATAAATGAACCTTGAAGACATACTAAGTGAAATAAGCTACTCATAAAAGGAACCTAGGGTAGTCAAACTCAGTGACAGAATGTAGAATGGTAGTTGGTAGTGACGGGATGATTATTGGGTAAAGAGTTTAAATTTTGCAACGTGAAAAGAGTTCTGAAGATGGATGGTGGTAAAGGTTACACGACAAGGTGAATGTACTTAAGCCGCTGAACTGTGCACATAAAAATGTATAAAATGGTAAATTTTATGCTATGTGTATTTTATTATGTATTTTTAAAAAGTAGCTTTATATCACTATTAGAAATAAAAATCTTTTGTCCTAAAGGAAAGGTCTCCCTAAAGACAATTAAGTGCTGAAGCCTGCTAAAGCTGTGCATGGAGAACTCATCTCTCTTTAATTAAAAGGGAGATCAGTAAGTGCCAGGGAAGTGTTAAAAGCACTCTGGAATCAACTCTGTCCTTGACAAATTCAAGACTAAAAGAGAGCCTCAAACAGAGACACCTTCTCCCCATTGATCTATCAGGGTGATGTCTGTGGGGAATTAGAACCATTTCTTAAGCCAGGGATCATGGGCATCCTACACTTTGAAAGACACACACTCCCCCATTCAGGACAAGGGTATAGGGACCAAGGGTAGTTTAGGTGCAGCAGGCCAGACCAAACCCAGTGGGGGAAGCAAAGAACCCCATGAGGTCCTAGAAGTGGCCCAGGCTGTTTCATCAAGGAATTCTCCAAGTACTCCTTGCCCTAAAGGAGGGGCCTCCAACTGGGATCCCTCCACCTAGGGTGGGGATTCCATTGCTTTGGACTAGGGGCCTGGAGGTAAGTGAATAAGTAAAAGTTAGTCTCAATCGTCTAGGGCACAGTAGGCCTGATGGAAGAGACAGAACTGGAAGAAGAAACTGTGAACCATGTAACCAAGAAGGCACCGGTAGACGTCTAATGTTTTAGCCTGCACTGCATCCATGCCCTTTTTCTGGAAACCGTGCTTTAATTTTCTTTTGGGAAACAATGTCTCTTCTCCATTCTCAGTGCATTTGGTTGCGCAAGGCTGAATCCACCCACTCTTCACAGTAGGAGGCAGGAGATCCAGCCCTGGCTAGTCAGAAGATGTTATCCTTCCTCCCCTGACTCTCCACAACTACCCTGTAAGATCCTGAATTCAGCTGCGCTTGAAGATACACCCATTCTATCCCTTAGCTTTTGCTTTAGAATGATGCATGTTTTAACTAATATTGGTGTGTGTGTGGAGAGAGAGAGAGAGATGAACAGCACATCTCACTACAATCTTCTGGTCCAGGGCCCCTGGAGGTTTTCATCCTGTCTATAGAGGTCATTCCCAACCACTCAAGTGCCCCTAGTGTTCTGGGTTTGGTAAGCCCCCACACTCTTACATACTGAGACATCTCCCAACCACGATGTCAACTGTACGACTTGGAGTTAAATACTTGGATATCAAATCTCTTAGACATGTAATTTTAAATACTTGTTTTAAAGTTTTGGCTTTTTGGTATTCTGTGCTCAAACATTTCCATACACTTTTGGAAAGCTCCTGGGCTCTAGGCCCAGTGACTGTCACCCCTGCCAAACAAACAGGATCGAGCGCGGGTGCAAAAGGTTAGTGGTCCCCTCGGACTCTAGTACAGGCAGGCGGGAGCGGGCAGGTCTTGTACGCATGCGCGCGGGGCGGAGCTCCGCCTGCGTGTAGCTTTTAGGTCGGCTGGACGAGGGGCGGGGCGGCGGCGGCGGGTACGCCTGTAGCCAAGCTTGGGGCGCATCCTCACAGAGCTGCCCCTCTACACCCCCGCCGCATACGGGCGAGGCGGCCCCCTTCCAGAGGGATGGAGAGGGAGTACCCACCTTAGTTCTTGCGGGACCCCGAGTAAACGACTGCGTGTGGCCTGAACCGCGGTCTTGGGAGAGGGACCGATGGGCGCGTCCCCGCAGACGGACCGCTGACGTGTGGGCGGCGGGCGGCGGAGTCGCGGCGCCAAGGAGAGCCGTGCTCGTGCTCGTGCTCGTGCTCGCGCCCGCTCTGGCCGTGCGCGCGCGTTCCCGCCGCAGCCCCGGCCGCGCCCGCCCCGCCTCTCGGAGCCGGCTCCAGAGCCCGGTCCTCGAGCGGCAGCGGGGGCTGCCGGAGGGACGATGAGCGGCGCGGCGCGGGCGGGTCTGGCCCGGCTCGCGGCGCTCACACTGCTGACCTGCAGCCTGTGGCCGGCGCGGGCGGACAACGCAAGCCAAGAATACTACACGGCGCTCATCAACGTGACGGTGCAGGAGCCCGGCCGCGGCGCCCCGCTTACGTTCCGCATCGACCGCGGGCGCTACGGGCTAGACTCTCCCAAGGCCGAGGTGCGCGGCCAGGTGCTGGCGCCGCTGCCCCTGCACGGAGGTGAGTTTGGGGGAGCGGGGAGGGCAGCCTGGGATGCGGCGGTGGGCCGGGCCCCTGGCCCCAGTGCGGACTCGCCGCGGTGCGCCGCTCGGCAGACGGCCCCAGCAGGGTAAGGGTTCTGTGGTGTAGGGCCGGCCTGCTTGTGCCTGGAATGAGGTTCCGGAGGCGTTATTGGGTTTTCCCCCTTCTCTTAAAAAAGACTTGGAACGTTCTTTTTTCGGTTTAAGTAGGTTGTTTACTGGAGGGCATTGAACTGCGAGTTTGTAGGGATAGCTAGACAAAGGAGGTGGTGCAAGAGTGCAAAACTAATTCATGGTGGATGAGATCGCAACCTGTGTTTTGGAATCTGCAGTTTGTTCCCGAAATCAAGGACCTAACCCTGGATTGGATCTCCAAGGCTGACGTCCTTTTTTGGTGGAAAAACGTGCCATTTTTTTCTTAAATGGTCATGGGGCGGTGGGTAGAAGGAGAAAATGAGCATCTTCCCTGTTGCTTTTGGCTCTTGTTCTGCCCCTGTGGTTTTGTAATTTGACGCCTAAAATTTTCACATTATGAATAATCTGATGCTAATTGGAACTACTAACTAAGTCTTCGTTCGATTCACGGTTGCCGACCAAGAAGGAAATAGATAAAATTTTCAAGAATTGTCTTTGAAACCGTTTGCCTTAACGTCTTGATTTTTTTTTTAAATAAAGCTGGGTTCTGTTTAATTATTTGGTGTAAAACATATATTATATACATATATATTAAATTGCTGGTCATATTTTTAAGAAAATATTTTCCACGTTGTGTAATATGATTTGGGGGGGGGGGGTTGGCCCACTTGGAACTTTTGGGAAATGTTCACCACCGCATTCTCATCCTGAGAAAGCTGAGTTTTTTTTCACTGCTGTTCATGTTAGGATGACCTAAACTAGGCAACCTAAATAAAGTAATGGTGTTTGTTTTTATACTCTAACGTATTAACATATCGTGCCCTTTTGAGACCTGTATTTGTGAGCTAAAGTACTAAGCTGTTTCTTCTTTGAAGTAATCTGGCTGGGAAAAAAGAATCACAGAAGACTTTTGGTGTAGCTTGTCTCCAACTTAGGCTGGGCTTTTGAAAGTTTGTTTTCACACCCATAATCTGGTGCTTAAGGTGCATTTTTCATATCCACTTTGTTAAAAATGGCACTTAGGATCCCATCTTGGCCATAGAAACAACTTTTGTCTTGGGTTCACTCAGTAAACATTTGTGTGCCTGCTCTGTGCCAGTCACTGTGGTTGGGATGCATAATGTCTGCAAACTATGGCAATAACAATGGTAGTCTATTTTCTGGTGGGGGAAAACCATGGAGTCACGTGGAAGGGTAGAAAGAGGAAGAGAGGCAAGCAGTTCTGGAGCAAGAGCTGGCCCTGTGCAGTGTTTTGAAATCTCTGGTTTGTCTTTGAGGGAGGCTTGGTTCCCTCAAGCACCAAAAATCCATGGCCTTAATTTTGGATTGTTGCCTCCAAAGTGTTCCCAATATGCTTAAATTACTTGTTGCTTACCTCTCACCCCAAACAAAAACTCCATCTTTGAGAAAGCAAAGCTATTTTAGGTGTTACGATAGAAGGGAATTGGAAACTAGCTGATGTGACCTGATGTGGGTGAAGTCTTCATATGGCAAGAGCATTATAGGAGTAAAACTTGTGAGTCAGACCTGTGCTATATGCCTGTGTGACACTGGAAAAAGTAATTCGGCTACATAGCCTCAGTTCCTTCATCTGTAAACTGGAATGATGGAAGTACTTATCTCTTCAGTTTTTTGACCGATTTAAGTGGTTGCTTAATTCTGAAAAGAGGAGATATGTTAACCTAAAGGAATCTCTGTTGGTGGAGTTTTAGACACTGCAACAAAATGAACAAATTTGTACAGTGTGTGGAGATTTGAGTGTGAGATCAGTTCCTTGGAGTTTCTTCCTTTCACTGATTCTCAAGGTTGGTCATTTTGTATCTTTCCCACCTGGTTCCAAAATGAGTTTGCTTCAGGTTTTCTCTTGGTGTTGGTGGTGGTAACTATCCTGTAGGTCAGTGGTTCTCAACCTTCCTAATGCCGCAAGCCTTTAATACAGTTCTTGTGGGTAACAACCCACAGGCTGAGAACCACTGCTGTAGGTAATTTGAGTCTGGCTTTGTAACAAGGAGTCTTCACACATGAGATCTTTCAGTTCAACAAATACTAATTGAAATCCTACTGTCAGCACTAATCAAGGAACTACTAAAGAAGGAAGGGTAACAGCAGTGAGAAAACATAAAAATCTGCATTTCTCATGGAGTCTTTATAAGTTAGTCTACCTTGTTTCTAAGCCTATGGGTTTATGTGAAATCCAAGGCGTTCTTTTGCAGTAGGAACTTTGGAATGTATTTTAAAAGCAAGAATGGTGGTAGAAATCTGTAACAATTATTCATGTTTAAAATAATGGTTTAAAATTGTAACAATATTTGGGTATTTTACATTATAGTATTGTTTTAGTGAGTCTCAAAATTTTTTTTTTACTTTTAGGAAAAATATTTCATTCCTGTGCTCTTTATGCGCTTATAATTTTCAATTGAATTCTTGGTATTTATTGAGGATTTATTGTGTGTTGACATCAAGCAAAGTGATGTTCAAATTACACAAACATGAAAGTAATGAGGCAGATTCCTGGCTCAAAAACAGCTTATAGTCAATAATGTAAAATTTGTGAAACTTCATCTTGGGGTTAGGTGTTTGGTACAAATGTAAAAACAAAGAACTTCACAGTTTTCCTAGAGCTTTAAAATGATGGCTTGTTTAAAATCTTTCTTTCTTTTTCTTTTTTTTTTTTGAGGCAGAGTCTCATTATGTTGCCCTGGGTAGAGTGCTATGGTGTCACAGCTCACAGCAACCTCCAACTCTTCGGCTTAAGCGATTCTCTTGCCTCAGCCTCCCCAAGTAGCTGGGTCTAAAGGTGCCCACCACAACACCCAGCTATTTTTGTTGTTGTTGTTGTAGTTCTCATCGTTGTTTAGCAGGCCTGGGACGGGTTCAAACCCGCCAACCCCGGTGTATGTGGCCGGCACCCTAACCACTGAATTATGGGCTCAGAGCCTATCTTAAATCTTGATTTGTGAAATTAGTAACTTTTCTGTTTTCTGAATTCACATATGTAATTCATATGTGAATTACAAAGGTAGGCATGTGTGAATTATTGAATAAGATTTATTTGTCCTGTACCTTTAAAGGAGCAAACTGGCAATTTTTTTCTTAGGCACTTTGATATTTTGGGCTGGGAGGATTTGAGTCTGTAATCCTAGCATTCTGGGGGGCCAAGGTGGGAGGATCCCTTGAGGTCAGGAGTTCAAGACCAGCCAGAGCAAGGGGGAGACCCTATCTCTACTAAAAATAGAAAAATTAGGTTGGGAGGCTGAGGTAGGAGTATGGCATGAACACAGGAGTTTGTGAACTAGGCTGTCTCCACTGCACTCTATCCTGGGGGATGGAGTGAGACTCTGTCTCCCCTCCCCCTAAAAAGGATGTTTTGAAAAGCGTCACACTTTACATAGTACACTTATGGAGTACTTGATGAAGTAACAAGTGTTGTACTCTGAAAATATATCTTTACAGTTAAGTGAAATGCTCTGGTGAGTGGAGATACATTTTTGAGGGGGCTTACAAATTTCATATTTTAACAGATAAAGAATTCATTCTTAGAAACTGAGTTTTGAAAAGAGTCTGTCTTGTGTTTATGCACAGATTCACAGTTGCTTTTTTACTACTTAGACAGTAAACTTAGAACTAGGAACAAATTTTTGAGACAGAGTCTCACTCTGTTGGCCTGGGTAGAGTACTGTGGTGTCACAGCTCACAGAAACCTCAAACTATTGAGGACTCAAGTGATACTCTTGCCTCAGCCTTCTGAGTATCTGGGACTACAGGCGCCTTCCACAAAGCCCAGCTAGTGTTAGAGATGGGGTCTCACTCTTGCTGAAGCTGGTCTCCAACTCCTGAACTCAAGCAACCTACCTGCCTAAGGCCTTCCAGAGTGCTAGAGGAGTGCTAGGATTACAGGCTCTTAAGAACAAAACTTTTAATATCTTTGCGGAGCACACTTGCTAGTGTCTCCTGTGGAGCAGATGTTGTAAATGTGCTTTATGTGTATGCACACTGCTTGGACACAGAGTAGGGCTTGGGAGAGGAGAAAGCTCTGTGTTCATGATGTGATTATGTATGCAGATGTTCTGGTGGAAAGAATTTGCTTTGAATAGAACTTTTCAGGATTGGGTGTTTAGCCCTAGAGAACAATTTTACCCAATGATAAACCTTTTTTGCTAACTTGCTGACTGTAGGGATGCAATAAATTTCAAAAATAATGAATCTTTGTTTTTTATATTTTTAAAAAGTGATCCTATTAGATGAATCCTTTAATAAACCTGAAATTGGCTTTAGAACTTCTCCTAAGCAGTGCAGAAGATTGATGTGAAATAGGAATTTGGGTAAAAGGGATTATGTTAGAATTCATAATAGCAAAAGCAAAGGCTTTCCGACATAGAAATTTGAAAATATTCAGAGAAAAAGTGTATATATGATCCTGTGAGCAAGAATGCTGAACATTCAGATAGAGCTGGAGCTCTAAAAACTAGATTTTGACGTAAGTTAAATAACCAGGGAAGGAGGAGGAGGAGATATAGACAATAAATTATATTGAACTTAACATCTTTGAAGATGTGTTACATACTGTGTTTTTCCTTCATTTGTGGATGATTTCCATTAGCACGTAAATATTAGAATGTTTTTTAAAAGCCATTCAGTCTCCCCACCAAATCCTTCTCCTGCTGCCATCCCATTTCTCTGTTAAGAGAAACAGAGACTTCTCAGAAATATCATCTACACCCCAATTTTTCTTCCTGCTGTTCTTTTATTGTGAAGATCTTTGATTGCCCTGCTAGTGATTTTGATAACAATGTGGTATATATTTAACTCATATAGTTGATGACAGGGTCAGGATTCCAAAGATTT